CGCTCGCCAAGCTCGACCAAGCGCTCCTAGCCCGTGACCCAAAGACGCGTAAGACAAGAAGACTGCGCGCTGCATTTATATAAACACTGGCAATAATCTCTCCGAGGACGGGACCAACTCGTCGTGTAAAAAATAGTGTGAATTTCACTCGTTTTGATGTGCATAAAGTGGAACGAGTTGTCTGCAGCAGGTGCCCATGATGGACTGTGCATGCTTACTCGTCGTCTCCACTCGACGAGCGAGAGCCGCGCAGAGATTTGGCATTGAGGCTACTGTGCGGCGGAGCGTTAGACGTGTTGAATCCATCGGTGGGGCGGCCGGCCGTCGAACCGTTGAAGCGACGATCGTCGTGTGGAATGATTGCCGAGCCGTTCCAGCGCCACTGCGGACGACCATCCGAGCCATTGAAGAAATTGTGTGGGCGATCGTCCGAGCCTTAAAAGGAGCCGTAGGGATGATCGTCGGAGCCGTTAAAGTCGACATGAGGGCGGCCATTCGAGCCGTTGAAGGGGCCGTGCGGGCGGTCTTCGGAGCCGTTGAACGGGCGCTGGTCAAACCCAAAGAGGCGTTGGCGGAGCTCGCCGGCCTCGAGGCCAGAGAGGGGGATTTCAACGTCGGGAAAGCCGCTGCCGCTGCCCGACAGGATCACTTGGTGGTTGTTCGAGTCGTCGGGGCCCCCTGTGACCAGGTGCTCGGCCGAGACGGCGACGGCCGAGAGCACGAGAAGGCTGAGGATGCAATACATGGTTGCTGCACTCGATGAATTGGAAAATGAGCGAACAGGGCAGTGTCGAGGTTCGTCTCGTAAAATAAAACCACTGCCACGTAGGCTCTGCACCCACAATACGACCGAGCTTAGCAAACAGATCGATGGGATCCACTGTACACACTATTCTATGACGCAAAAGGACAAAGCTACAACAATGCCTTCGGATGCTACGGCTGTGCAAGACCAAATATATATTTGTTGTCTGTCCGACTGGGAACGGCTTGGCTGTTGATGCTATAAGTGCGCTGCACGATGCCTCGTCTCTTGTCTCTGCTTCGGGCTCCTCGACACAACAGCTCGTTTCCGTTCGGAAGGTCCTACGAACCAGATAGGGGTAGGGTACGAACCCTGCTCCGCCTTTGGGAGCAGCGTGGACGCAAGTTACCCACCTGCCGCCTGCTGCGCTTACCTATCGAGCAATCGGCGTGTCCAAGACCACCGATAACTCGTCACCTTCTCGATGGCTTGGTCTGCGTGTACAGCAAACATAATGGAGGAGCGCCACCGAGTGTGCTCGATCCCGCATCAACCATCCAACACGTTCAACCACAATAACGTGAGAGCCACACGAGTTGCGCGCTGTGCGTCAGCGCAGAACAAGCTAGAGACATGGTGCATGGCGGATCGTGGTGGCGTGATCAAGTACGAAGGGTGCTCGCTCCGAGTACCTCGGTTTTGTATTTACCTCTAAGAGCTTGATTTCTCCCCGAAAACGAGCCATCTCTTGAGCACCCCCCACTTCTAGTCTCTGTCGAATCGGCGACCACCTTGGAGGTCGACTTGCCGTGTTCTGGCAGCTCAAACGATTTGGAACGACCTCGGTCTGGCGAAGCACTAGAAACACTCTGGCTCTCGGCTCCATCACAACAGTATTAGAAATAATTCCAGACAATCACACACACTACTGCCAGTTGGTCCGCGTCGGGAGACCCTTCGAGGACGAGTGGCGAAGCATCGGGTTCACGCCCAGCGCTGGCTTGGTCTCGACGGCCGGTGTCTCGAGCGTCTTTGCGATTGGCGTATTCCACGAGGACGCGACGGGAGCTGTCCAGGACGACACCGGCGTGGCAGTGACCGGAGTTTCAACATGCTTGACCGGTGTCGATGGAGCGACTGAGGCCGTGAGCACCGGGCCAGGGTACGCTGGGAATTTCTTGACGACGGTGCGGTTCAAGGCCAAGAGGCAGCGCACGACTG